TGTTAATAAAGGCATGCATTTCATACAGATTAGTACGTACATAGCCAAATCAACTTTTGCATTTTAGGTGTTATGGACAGCATATCTGCCAAGTGGGCCTATATCGGAGAGACAGACCATATTTTGGGCTCATATTCCTCTGCCCTTTATTTTTTTATGCTAACATCCCTCTTTTATAGGAGCCCATACTGTTGGTATGTCTGAGTGTATAACAGAGGTACACAGTACTAATAATCACAGTAATGTGTATTTAAATTACAATACATGTGTTTAGAAATCAATTTGTGTAAATAACGAGCATTGTTCTTGCCCTGGAGTACATTTTAGTTGTATAAATTGTTATTAGAAAGTTACATACAATTTCTCAGCTCACTCGCCCCTGTCCACACCTTCATTCACACCTCTGAAATTAAAGTGTCCCTATTTATCCATTTGAAATGTTTGGAATAATGTAGATAATGTTTCCCATAATGTTCAGTTTGCCCAGTGACGATATCTTTAACTCCCCTGTAATATTGCTGAGAAATACCACAAACATCAGGCAGCTCGGACTTATTGCAAGGTGTGGACTTTGAGGTTCCACTTCAATAGACCCTATCCTAATCTGGCACTGGTTGTAAGTGGAAGGCTTAGATGTTTTTGACAAGGTAAAAGGTAAAATATATAATATATTATATTAAAGGATATTTTAAACATTCCTAATGCTTTTTGTTGTCACATTGGCATTCCAAAAGCACACAAAGTGTGAAACTTATTTCAGGTCTTTGCCTAGGGGAAATACACCTTTTATGATTATAGTATACAAATAAGTTTAAATCTTCAAGAATTCAAATAATAAACTGTCACATTTTCATATGTAAATAAGGGTGAAGTTTAGCAGTAATATATAGGAATTTTCCGATGCATTAGTCTATAAAATTAAAGTTCAGGGATCAAGCACCAAGGTACCAAAGGATATATATCAACACATTAATGTTATTTTTCTAGGTGAGATTGCGGTCAGTTCCCTTTGGGAACACTTACTGCAACTTGAATTGAAGAGATGAATGGATTATTAACTGGAATAACTTAGATTGCTCGGAGCAACTTGAGTTATTGCTTTTTTGAAAGCAATATATCATTAAAATTAGATTTGCCTTCCTCTTTGTTTCTTGCATTTTATCCTATCTTTAAACCCATGACCATTTTGGAGGTTGTAATCAGATCAGCTGTTAGCGCTTAGTTGTCATGAAGGAAAAATAATATTCAAAATGTAGTAAATGAATATATGATACTTTTCAAAGTTGGAATTCATTAGAAGTGTATTCAGTCTTATGCCAGTTGAAAATTGTCTGAATTTTGGACAATCTGCAACTCGTCCAAATTCTGCAACTTGTAAATGGCATGTGAATGAATCATGAAGTTAATGAAATGGACATTGACCAAGCCAATTTGTTTGTTTTGCGATTTGGAGTTTTTTCCATGGTTCCAAAAAAAGTTGGAGTAAAGGAGGAGAAGCTGTGCAGCCCACTATGAGGGACAGGGCCAGAAAGGCATGTTTATGTAAGTGTGATGCCCCTCCAGAGCATCCAGTGCTCTGCGGTAGAGTATATGTCCTGGGTTTTTTTTTTGTTCAACATAATAATGTGCTTTGTTCGCTAGTAATTTGTCTCTGATGTCCTCAATAGGGGGATAACAGAGAACAAATGCGGAACAGGACTGTTAACCCCTTAAGGAACAGAACTGTTAACCCCTGTTGTGTGGATGCTCCCTGTGGTGTTGTATATGTTTGGAGGTTGCTTGTGCGATTGTATGTGTGTATTGTAGACAGTTTGTTTTGTAGTTTGTGTGTAAAAGGGTTTGTTTGTGGCGTACTATTTGTGGCTAGGGGCTGTAGTGTGTGTTTCTGGGCTGTAAAGCATGTGTATGCATGTTTACAGGGCCTGTATAGTGTGTGGGACTAGGGGGTGATGTGTGTGCGCATGTGAGGGCTGTATATATAGGGAATGCAGGAGGTCTAAGAGTTTTAGTTTGTGTATGAATGTGCACGTGTGTATAGATGTGTAGGCCGTCTGAGATCACCCGGAGGTAAAAAATTAGGAAGTCAGTGATGTTGTAAGGAAATTTTAACTTAAGGTGGCATAAAGAAGGGAAGGCTACAATAGTTTCCATGGAATATTTATTAACAACCTGAAAATCTAACAAGAATGTGTTATAAATATGGAATGCCCCGTCATACGATTTTTTTGTATTATCAGACAGAGCCAACTGCGAGAGGAGCCTGCCATGAGTTAACAGATTCCCAAATTCAATCTCATGTCTTGCCATGACGGAGCCGGGGTAGCAACCATGGCTGCTGTTGGTAAAGCTTTGTGGAAATCCTGAAATTGAGAGCAAAATAATGGCATTATCAATAGTGGCATACTGGAAGGAGAATTCAGAAAACAACAGATACAGGCTGAACCAAGAACAAAGTGAATAAAATAAATAATAAAATACCAGGAAAACAAGCAAATAAAAGTCTCTAATTCACAGGTATATTCTTCAGAAATTCTCATCAGCATAAATGAAAGAAAAAACACACAGAGGGGACCAATGGTGCAGTAACTTAAAGGAGTGTGGCCACAGACAACAGTGAAGTTAACAAATGCCAACTCACATATATGGGAGCTATAACTTTTACCTATCTCAAACCTCACCTGTCCTAGTTCTGCAACCTCCTTCTACAATTCCACCCTCTCCTCTCAACTAGACATCATGGCACCTTGTACATTTAAACGCCGCAGGCCCCCCAAACAACAACCCTGGCACACCAAGCTCACTCGATACCTCCAAAAATGCTCCAGAACTGCTGAACGCTGTTGGAGAAAGTCAGATGCACAGTGAGACTTTCTCCAACAGCGTACAGCAGTTCTGAAACATTACTATAAATTTATGCTGAGCTCATACAGCTTGGCTCTTTCCTCTGCAAAAGTTAATTACTTCCATACCCTCATAACCACACTCTCCCGCGAACCCAAACGACTATTTGACACACTAAACTCTCTTCTTCGCCCTGCTGTTCCTCCTCCACCTACTAACCTGACCGCCTCAGACTTTGCAACTCACTTCACTGACAAGATCTCTACAATCAGAGAAGAGATCTCTCATCTTTCTTCTTCCCCTTACAATACTTCCCCTAACTTCACTCCCTCTGCTGTTCTATGTTCATTCGCACCCGCTACATTGGAAGAGGTTTCTGCTCTGCTCCAGTCCTCCCGCACCACCACCTGCTCCCTAGATCCAATTCCCTTGCATCCGAACTCTGTCTTCTTCTCTTTCTCCACCTCTCACTAAAATTCTCAATCTCTATTTCTCCTCTGGTATATTTCCATTGCCTTTCAAACATGCAACTGTAATCCCAATTCTAAAGAAGCCCATTCTTGACCCTATCTCCCCATCCAACTTTCGTCCTATCTCGCTACTGCCTTTTGCATCCAAGATCCTTGAAAAAATTTGTATGCGAGATTGACAGACTTCCTCGAGTCCAACTCTCTGCTTCAGTCTGGTTTCCGCGCTAAGCACTCCGTGGAAACGGCACTGACCAAAGTATCCAATGATCTACTCGCTGCAAAATCTCGTGGTCACTACTCTATCCTAATTCTCCTTGACCTGTCTGCGGCTTTTGACACTGTTGATCATCAACAGCTTCTTCTCATCCTCCGCAATATCGGTCTACAAGATATTGCTCTCTCCTGGTGCTCCTCCTACCTCTCCCAGCGCTCTTTCAGTGTTTCTTTCTCTGGCTCTGCTTCTTCTCCCCAACTCCTCTCTGTTGGTGTCCCCCAAGGTTCAGTCCTTGGTCCCCTACTGTTCTCCATCTATACTGCCTCCCTTGGTAAACCCATTAGCTCCTTTGGCTTCCGATATCATTTCTATGCAGATGACACGCAAATCTACCTGTCCTCTCCTGATCTCTCCCCATCCCTCTTGACTAGTGTCTCTGACTGCCTCTCTGCTGTTTCTAACTGGATGGCTGCCCACTTCCTTAAATTAAACTTGACCAAAACTGAAATTCTGGTCTTTCCTCCCTCAAGTGTTGTTACTCCTGTGTCTGTCTCCCTCCAAGTCTACGGTGCTACCATCAGCTCCATTACGCAGGCTCGCTGCCTAGGTGTTCTCTTTGACTCCGACCTCTCCTTCAAGCCTCAAGTTCAATCTATCGCCAAATCCTGTCATTTCCATCTCAAAAACATTGCGCGCATCCGCCCCTACTTAACGCCACTTCTTTATAAAAGCGTATCAATTAAACTGTAAATAGCTCCTGACTGATTCCTCTTCTGCAACTGTCACTAGTCTAATACTATCCTTACCTTTGTGTGTAATTTTACCCCACTCCCTCTAGCATGTAAGCTCATTGAGCAGGGCCCTCAACCCCTCTGTTCCTTTGTGACCAACTTGTCTGGTTACAACTACATGTCTGTTCATCCACCCATTGTAAAGTGCTGCGGAATTTGACGGCGCTATATAAATATCATAATAATAATAATAATAACCAGCTCGAGTTAAAACAGCATACAGTGGTATTTAAAATGCCAACTCACATATATGGGAGCTATAACCAGTTCGAGTTATAACAGCACACAGTGGTATTTAAACTCCCCACATGTAGGATATTCCTTACACGATATTTTCAGTGTAGGTCATATGAAATAAAAACACAAGAGAAGGCCCATAGTGCTCTCTATAATTAAAAAAAAGTGCTGAATAAAATAGGAGATGTACTTACAATTTACAGAGCAGACAAACCTCTCTGTGTAATACGCCTGGGTGGAACAATCTCTACCAGGGATTCTTTAGATGGTGTAAAAGCTTCAGATGTTAGGACATGTCATGTAGAAATGTAAAATAAATATAAAAGTATTTAAAATTATAAAGACTAACCAGATTTTTAGGTAGTCAGAAAAAATACTTTTATTTAGATTAAAACACAACGCGTTTTGCCCCAAAATAGGCTTTATCAAGTGTAAAAACAAGTATCTGGCAATAAACATTTATATATAGCTTACTAAATAACAATGATTTGAATTTTGGTGCCAAAATGACATCATCCATATTTATATATATTTAAGGCTAGGCCTGTAGTTGTGGGAGAGGCTTGGGTACCGTTGTTGGTCTGGCGAGTTGAAGGACTACTTCCGATCAAGTCGCCATTTTGCTGTCTCTTACCTGATTCCCTCATGGTCCAGGTTCCTGTTTCTGTTCTACTTACCTGACCACTCACCAAACGCTACAAGCACGCTGCCTCCTCCAGCTTGCACGGAAACTGGTCTCGATACGGCTCGTTTTCAACCATAAGTCAGACCCTTACCATAGGGCTGATGTCGTACTCGTTCAGCATCATCATGGTTTGGGTCTATTCCTATTCTCATTTTGTATAGTTTTCGTATAAATTCGGCACTGTTCGCATTACCACATGTACGAATTAGTTTACTTCTATGTGGTAGGGGCATTCGGTTCTTTCAACCGCACAAACACGAGCCTTATTCGGCTAAAGGTCTAAAGATATGAAACAGTGGTATCAAAATACTAGAAAGTTGTGTGATATCTACAGGATAAAGTAGAGTCTAAAACAATCATAAAACACAAGAAAAATCATTTATCGTGTTTGTTGATTGGATTGAAAATGAACACGTCTGATCTAATATAAAACAGTGTTCTGAAGAATTAGAGTTGAGTTCAGATCCAGGTTGTATATCTTGTTTTCAAGTAAATTAGTGTGTCGTTGCTACCTGATATATTTCCTACTAATCAATCTACTGGTTTAATTACTAATTACTTTGATACTTGATATGTTTACCTGAATTACTATTGTTAATGATATTCAGTGCAACAGGTAAACATATAAGTCACCATTTACTACAAAAATTCAGGCAGAATATCCATTTTGGATGGAATAATAAAGTCTGGGCATTTGATATGGGAAATCTGTGTGTAATTTTGGTTATTACATCTGAATTTGGAAATCTGTTCTGGTTCTATTTATTCGGAAAGATTTCAAAGTGCTGTAAAGTATGGCAGTTGGCTATAGCCATACAGTGGCTAACATGACTTTAAATGTATTAATTCAGGAACTGAATCATGAATTTTAGTTTTAGAAGCATGAAGTTTATTGCACCATTTCCATCACCAAGGAGCGATATTTTAGGATTAGTGACTAATTTAATAATTTTGTGAGGGTCCTGGGAACCATGAATAATTTTTATTCATATATTCAAAAAGCCTTACAAATGTCCTCTCACTCTCATCAAGCATCAATGGTCATGTTGCAGATGTGAAGGAAATCCATGATAATGAAGAAGAAATAACATTCTATAGCTGTTAGAGTTTTCCAAACACATCAGTTGAGCGAAGGGTTAAAAGTAACATCAATGGGTTTTGAAATCCCAGTCAACACTGTTGGATCAATTATATTGTCAGGATTCAAACCTGGGTAACTTGGCAGTTCTGGAACTTCTTCCTACCTCTGGGCCACAGTAGCTTTGTTTCTTAGTAGCTATTTCAGTTCTATCGATCCTGGCTTGTCTGCAGCACTGGGGGATGGCCCTTGTCGATAGCCGTGCTTCACCTGATCCTGATCAGATATCAGCAGGGTATATAAACTCAGCCTCGCCCTGTGATCTGGATAAAGTCTTTGATCCTGTTGTGTGTGTTCCGTACCAGTGTTCCTGTCTATTGTTACTCTGCTTCATATTGACCCCGGCTTCTGACATCGTTTACTCTGACCTCTGGCATCCCTTGACTTCGGCTACTCCTCGTTGTTCCTGTCCTCTGGCATCCTTTGACCTCGGCTATCCCTTGACAATCCTGCTGTTTGAGTCCTTGCCTGCACTGCGACTTGGAACTTCATTCTGCACAGCCCCCATGCACAGACCCACAAGCCAGGTGAATTCTAACCTGACCACCTTGGCCTGTGGCTATTTTCAAGGGTGAGCAACATATCTGCGCTACAGACTCCCAACCCAGGTAAGACCCTGACATATATGAAGTGGAGAATAGACACTAAAATTGAGCAACCAGGAAAGAAGGTGACTTGTAAAGGAAGCAAAGAAGAGACTATCAGTAAAGGTAAAGGAGCTACATAGGTCTGAGGTTTGCTAAAATGTATATGACTAACTGGGCTGTGATATCAGAAAAGGTTTTGTTGTCACAATTACAGAGCTTTCTGGTCACAAGTGACTTATCTATGTATGCACAAAAAACACTACCTACACCTCTAACAAACACCCTACAGTGAAGTATGGTGGAGGTGGCATCATGTTGTGGAAGTGCTTTTTCCTTAGAGGTTTCTAGGAATATTGTGAGAATATTGGGAATAATGCAGGAGAACCTTTTTCAGTCTACTAAAAATCTGAAGCTTGAGAAAAGGTTCACCTTTCAGTAGGACACCGATCCCATGCACAAAGAAAATGTAACTTTTGAATGGTTCAATTAATATCCTACAGTTGACCTGTAAAAGTTCAAAGATCCCTACTGAGCATTCGTGTTTCTATTTGAAAACTGCAATCTCCACTCACCCGCCCTGAACTAACCAGAGAAAATCTGTTTAGAAGTTGGGCAAAAAAGCAATTCTATCCAGTGTGCAAAACTGGTAAATACTCCAAAATAATTAAAATTGTTATTACAGTAAATGGCGCAACAAAAGAGGCTGAACAAAATATGAATTTGAGATATATAAGCAAACATCATGTCTTGTACATTTTTTTTATTTGAAATTGTACTCTGAAATACCTAATATCTTTTTGTTAAGTATGTACCTTTACAGCACGAGTGTTTGCAATACAAATACAGTTTTAGCATTTAATATTATATATAGTTTATAATGCAAAAAAATTATACTTTTCAAAGAGTCTGATTACCTTCGCAAGGTGCTGAACCTTTGTGCAAATGCACATAGATTAAATTTTTGTTCCCCGGACTCTTTGCAAATTATTTATATACCTCAGCCCACTTGATAAAAAAGCTGGGCAGGTGAAGCGTTGGGTGTCATATACTTTGCATGTTACTCTTTTTGAATGGCTAAATAATCTTTAAAGAATACTAATTTGCATTAGTGCTGAAGAACATTTATCTTTATGAAGAGAAGTCAGTATTTTTCCTACTAATGCTGCCAAGTTTATTTTTTTAAGTTTACAAGCTCTTCCAAACCAATCTGACCTACCTGGAGCAAATATGTCAAGAAAAATGGTTGGTTGATACTTACTCCAAAATATTTAAAACAGTTACAAAATAATTAATTGATTTTGACTGTATATTGTTCACATAAAAATTCAATTTTCTATCATATCTGCTGAAGTGTAAATTTTGTGTGGCAACTTCAAAGGTTCTATATCTTTCATAACTGCATATTCAAACACTTGTAAAAATGACACACAACCACAAAGCTCAACCCACTAAGTACTATATTTTATTGATCCAAGAGAATTGAAATAATGGGAATATTTAAAATATTAGCTTAAAGTATCACAAAAAAAGACATTCCATTCAGAATTTTTCTTCACTAAACAATGGCTTTATTACATTTTATAACATAATAACATAGAATGTGACAGCAGATAAGAACCATTCAGCCCTTCTAGTCTGCCCAATTTTCTAAAAATTATTTTTAGTCCCTGGCCTTATCTTGTAGTTAGGATAGCCTTATGCCTATCCCACACATGCTTAAACTCCTTTACTGTGTTAACCTCTACCACTTCAGCTAGAAGGCTTTTCCATGCATCCACTACCCTCTCAGTAAAGTAATACTTCTTGATATTATTTTTAAACCTTTGCCCCTCTAAGTTAAGACTGTCTTCTTGTTGTGTAGTTTTTCTTCTTTTAAATATAGTCTCCTCCTTTACTGTGTTGACTCCCTTTATGTATTTAAATGTTTCTATCATATCCCCCCATCTCGTCTTTCCTCCAAGCTATACATGTTAAAGATATATAGAATAAAATGATGTAGTGAAAATATATTTCTTACATTATTATTATTATTATGATGATGTTTATAGAGCGCCGTCAAATTCCGCAGCGCTTTACAATGGGTGGACAAACAGACATGTAGTTGTAACCAGACAAGTTGGACACACAGGAACAGAGGGGTTGAGGGCCCTGCTCAATGAGCTTACATGCTACATAAACAATAAAACAGTACTGCAACATTTTTAATATTAAAATTCCTCCACAAGGTGGCAGTGTATTATTCTTTTTTGTTTTTCAGCCTGTATGAAAGTAATTTCAGGCGTATTTCTAATGCTATACCCTAAAATCCAGTGCAAAGCTAATGTGTATAGATCTACCTCTATGATATATAGTTCCAATTAATTTTCATCATCTTTTGAAAAAAATATATGATGAGAATTTATTGGAACTAAATATCTACCAAATATTTTATTATTCCACTTCAGAATTACACCAAGCAATATGGAATAAGGGATATCTGTTTTTTGAGGATGCCATCTTATATTAAAAATGTATATATATATTTTTTGTATGCCTGTGCAAGCAGTTATATTCAGACTCTAGTACCCGGAATATCTATTTGGCCAATATATTTTATAAATGTTACACCATAGTAGCTATATCAGTGATGGTGTATTTCTTGACCCCTCTACTGGTGGTCACTCCCTTTGCTTTCAGTTTAGCTTCCCCTTCCCATTTGAGACTCATGCTACTAACTTGCTGCCTGCATGTTTTATACTAACGTTATCAGCTTCCACTATCAGTCCTAGCTGTGACATGTTACCTAGTGATGTCCTAGCTCATCACCTATCAGACTAAATTCTTCAGGACTGATAGCTACCCATAAACACACAAGCAGTGCCATCTGAGAGTCTCCAAAGTGCGAGGGATTACAGCCAAGTCATAGTTCTGCATCACTAAGCTGTATTGATTCCAATTTGTCAATGTATCACTGTCTCAATATTTCTTCTTGTATCTGAATACTTAAAACTACAGGGGCAAACTTTGTGTATCACACTAGTATTAATGATGGATTAAGGAGAGATTACTCTCTTATTTTGATATCCTAAAATCAGTAAATTGTCTGGTCCAATATATCAGGAATTGCAACTGAATTGCAGACTTAGTAAAATTGAAAGATTGTTGAAGATGTGTGAAGTATGGAGAAGAGGAGTGAGATCTGTTCCATCAAATATTTTGAAAAAGTGTAACTTTTAACCACGCCAATTTATACCAACAATGGGAGCTGCAACAGGCTGAAAGTGGTCAGCTGACACTCTCAGCCAACCACAGCCGCACATTAAAGCTTAGGCCTTTATGTCCTCATTAGTCCAAGCAGCACATAGGGTAGAGGCTGTGGAAGACACACATTTAGCATTAAAACAGAATAAATATATACACAGTACTCTTAACCAGGAAGCAACCTGGCAAAAAAGAACAGGAAATGGTTACAGGGGTACTAAAGGGCCTAACCCTAGAATATACAAGAAATGAAGAAAAATAAGGAAATGAGGGGGAAATACTCCTCTATCTAGAGAGGAGGCTAGTTCCATCAAGACCAGTACCCCTTTAAGAGCAGTACAAATGTAAGATTGCAGAAAAACTATGTCACAGAGAAATAAGAAAATAATAAAGTTTTATTAGAGATTAAAAACGTGAAAAAAAACTCATCAAAACCTATCTACATACATACTCTAAACTGCTTAGCTTTAAAATATATAAACTGAGTGTAAAAGATATGGAGCTAATGTGCTCATACAGAGCGCAACAAAGTTACAATAGATGCAATAAGATACCTAATATGTAACTTATTCTAGTAAAGAGTGATATATTGAAAATTGTTGCAATATAGATAGTGAAGCAACAATAGATCCAAAAATATATCAAGCAGTCACAGCTTAGTATCAGCTATTATATTAAACCCCCATAAATCAAGTAAAATGAAATTATCTACAAATGGGGGGGAAATATTCCCTCTATATCTACTGTAACAGAGTGTTGGGGATGGTGGTCAGGGGTGTATATCTGGCACCCAGACTTTTGCACAGCCACTACCCTGACATGTGGGTAAGCAGATGCAGCCCCAAGGAAAGTTAAGTTTAAATGTAGGCATTTTTCCTCTGTTGTTATTTGGGTCCCTGGGGTGGAGTATTCGGAAGAGCAGGGTGGGCTGATTCTCCACCCACTGTCAGAGTGGTTGTGCATGAGTCCAGCCCAGGTTTTCTAAGGAGTTCTGGCTCACTGCCTAACAAGGTCATTAGCCTCACCTGTAGGGGCTGTGAGCAGCTATATAACTGCAGTTAAAGCAGGGTGAAGTGAGGGAAGTGTTTTGTGGAGAAAGAAGGTTTGCTGTTTATTGTATCCTGTTACTTCATAACAACATAAAATAAACAGGCCAGAGGCCTTTTTGAAACTGGACTTTGTCTTGACCTGGTTTTCTTACCCTAGAGGGCTGTGCGGTTGCCAAAAGATCCTGGACAAACACACACAGGAAAGTAAGTTTGTCGCACTACTAATAGTAATAACCAATATCCTACAGAGTCCAATCAAGTTAGCTGAATAACAAAAATCTAATTTTAAAGTACCTAATCAGAGCTTAATAAGATAAGTAAATCGAAAGGACAGGGAGATAAGGATAATTGAAATAAAGTAGGAAGTAGTATAGAGAGAATATATGCTCACAGCTAATTATAGCTTTAAAAGAGAGGACTCAGCTGGCAAAAGAGCCCCTCAATAAAGAGCAACGTGTAGAAAATCTAGCTGGTACTAAAACAGTATGTAGAGAAAGTGAAACCCACAACCCGACGCGCGTATTGGCAATATAAATTGCCTTTTTCAAGGGCACGAGCAAAGCAGTGTGCATCTACCCCCTCTCTCCTTTTAAATAGCTGGTGCCAAATCCTATTGCCAATAGAATGTGCCTAATGCCGACTGCCAATAGAATTCAGCGGTGGGAGGTCTCAGGGACCGGTGCTCGGCAAGGTCCAAGTAAGTAAGAGTGATGTAACAGGACGCACATAAAACTGTGTTAACATACATACAAATGACAGCACATGCACTCAGCACAATATCCTTATATGTGCAGAGGCATTAAATAAATATTATGCAGACATTGTATCAGTATAAAAGCATCCACATCAAACTCACCAGACACCTGGTTTATTTACTGTCTTGCTCTTGTGGACAAAAATACGTGGGCAAGACATTTAGGGCTTTTAAAGAAAGAATCATGGAACATGTAAGGTCCCCTAAGAACCGCGTTGAGACACCTATTTCAAGACATCTCAAAGAATATCATCAGGGTGATCCTAGCAACTTGAAGTTCTGTGGGTTGGAACTTGTTAAGAGACATCCAAGGCGTGGTGACTATGACCGATTACTAAGACAGAGGGAGTCAAGATGGATTTATAGACTTAGGACACTTCAACCTTTAGGTCTCAATGAGGGGTTTTCCTTTGCCCCATTCATTTAATTCATTGGAGCGATTCCATTGTTTGATAACCAAGACGGATCTATTAACTTAGGACATTTTAACCCTTAGGTCTCAATGAGGGGTTATTCTTTGCTCCATTCATTTAATCTAGTGGGGCAATTTCCCAAATTTAGATATTGTTGATAAATGATACTTTTGATATATAATATGTTCTCTATTCCTCTCGATATTGAACCCATAATGATCCATAATTATGTTCATTTATGATTGATACCATTATACAAAATCCTATTATGTGCTATTTTTTTCTGTTACGATATTCTAGATACTTTTTCTGATGGGAAGTCTTCTCACCTAATACTATTAGATTTTCATCATATATTAACTGCATTTATAATAACTAGGTCCTCTTTTCAACTTAAGTTGCTTGATAAGTAGATATGTTGGATAGATTGTAAATTATGATGTGGCAAAATCATGTACAGGAATATATTTATCTAATGCACACGTGCCCCTTTAACTTAATAAAATGTTAACATTTATTTTGGTCCTACTTTGTATTATTATAGACATATTATTTATATTTAAACATTATTACTACACACCTAAATAGATTATCACAGCATATTATATATCTGTTATATAAGTATCCATGTACTCTTTGGAGTTTTCTTTACAGCATCTAGTTTTCAGGTTCTCAAAATAGACGGGTCGATATTGCTTCACATATATCTACAAGAAGGACAGCATTTCTTTCAAGGACTTGAGTACAGCTTGTAATACAGTGTTGCGGTCCTGCATAGCTGCATGAATAAATGAAATACAGAATAACAGGAATAAGAAAAGATAAATGAGAGTAAATATTTATAAAATGTAACAACGAGACTACAATGTATTTAAACTGAATGTTTTAACTAAGATTTAAAAGTTTTAACAGCTCTTTTAATGGCAGCAAAGAGCATCAGCATTTGCCAGCAGCCTGCTGTGTGTAACAAGTTGAGTATCTCACAAGAATACATAAAAGCATGCAGAGAACATTATAGTAAGGAAGAATAAATCTTTCAAGCCTGTGGACTTTGTCTGTACAGCTTCAAGGAAGTACCATTTTGATACTCCCTACAACACAGAGTTATTTAATATACAGAGTATTGTATTCTTCTAATATAGGTCCCAATTTAATATTTTGGATAGGCCTTTCACACAATTTATTGTTTTTTAAAAAAAATAATAATATTATGTATTACAAATATTTAACATAAAAGACTTGGAACTGGAGATATCCTACACAGAATGGTGTTTATCTTTAACACAAATTTATAAAAATATTTATTGTCAAAAGTTAATTGAATGCCAATTTAAAGTTATGTATAAATGGTATTTAACCCCTATGAGACTATCCAAGATGTATCAGGAATATAATCCAAATTGCTGGAGATGTGGTAATTATGCAGGTGTGAGGAACTGACTCTGCTGGGTTTCGAACCCTGGTTTAAATGGTGCTAAACCTTTTCCTTACCAGTACACCAGCCTGCCTTTTGCAAATTTACCTGAGATCTGATACTATTGTTTGTAGAGTCAAGGTTATCAGTGACAACTCACTTCAGCTGTGTCTGGTCAGGTGTCTGGTCCTTGGCCTATAAAAGCCACTTCCTGTCTCTGTACCTTTGCCAGATTATTGTGGTTCCTGTACTCTCTAATCCAGCGTGTTCCTGTTTCTCCTTCCTGTTGCTGAATTTGGACTGTTTTGACTTTGCTGCTTCTCCTTCCCACTGACCTCGGCTTGCCTCACTACGATTATCATCTTTCTGTTCCAGTCTCCCATCTCTGCTTAAGACCAGAAGGCCACTCAAGGCTCAGGGGCTCAACCACCTGGGTAACGAGTGGCTACCTCTGGCAGAAAACATTGCTGATCTGGCTACTGGACTCCAAAACTTTGTAACATCAATATCATTACAGCAGGATCTTTTATCCATACATAGTGGTCATGTCCTATGGTCAAACCTTTATGGACCTGGGTATTCACCTTTTTGCAAGAGTTGACAGATATAAAGTTAAACTGGTGCCCTGCAACTGCTCTTCTTCACTTGAAATGGAATTTAAAGACGAGTAATGATATATGTGTAGCTTCGCATTGTTTTATAGCTTCTAAGATCATAATTGCTAGGAACTGGAGATCTTCTTTATCGTTCCAAAAAATCCATCTTAGTACTCAAATTAAGCAAGAACTGTGCATAGAAAAAGATCTGTTAAACAGCCACATAAATGTATTTAGAAAAAGATATACATATGAAAGTTGGCTGAAAAAATTGTAAGGTTTGTAGTCAACGGCCTAAACTGACATAATTAACCGGTATGAATGTATAAATTCAGACTAATTTTTCCCTGTTCTGACTAATTGAATGAATTGGTGTTTGTATCATGTTTTGTTAATGTAATGTCTGTTGATAATGTTTACAAAATGTAGACAATAGTAATTCAATTAAGGAAAATATGGATACTTTGTATAAAATATTTTAAAGTATATAATGCTAAGGGATATATGGTTTGATATATGGACATTAATCTATTTTGTATGTCAAAATCAAATAAGGAAATATAATAGTAAAATTTTTTTTTTTTTTTTTATATATGATGCTTATGATATTTTAATATGTTTAAAAAAATTAGTTTTAAAAATGTATGCAAAAAATAAATTGGTTGAAAAGCTCATCCTAAGTCAGAGTTATGAGCACCAAGGTACTGATATATGGGGAAACTTGAGTGCAGATTGTCTGTTATATAGAGAGTATTTATTACAAAACTATTATCATGCATGGTTATATAGTTTTGAAATGTGCTTGAGTATATTCATTAAACTGTTATTTGAGTAAATAATATGTTATTTTTGTCTACAATGCTTCTGTTGCATTCAGTTGGACACAGCAGTGGATTTGTCCCTGCTCAGAATGTACAAGGAATCTCATGTGAGTCAAAATTGAGTTCTGAAAGTTCTGCAGGTAAGAAAAGGGTATGATTTTAGGTAATTTGGCCTTTCTTTTTTTTTTTTTTGAAAACTGCTCAATGCACATTTTTCAAGTGCATTGTTCAAATGCATTAAATATACTTGGATTTTGTACCCTAGACTCTTAATTAACCACTTTTTTTCTGGCTATTTTTGAAAACAGTTTTTGTTTAATATCTTACATGTAAATCAATATAATTTACTAAATTAAAGCAGTGGAGATTTCCATATATGAGGTGTAGAAGGCAGAACAGTAAATACAGTTTATTTGTATGCCTAGTGTAAAATACAGTAATTATTTGACATCATCTGAACACTTCTGTGTTACATATGTACAGTATATATAAATAGTAATATAATACACATATACTACACAAGTACACATGCATAATAGTCTCCCACAATTTAAAAGTATATATATATATTTTTTTTAATGAAAACATTGGCACTTCTGTATGTATGTGTCTGCATGAGTCAGTGAGTGTATTTGTCTGCATGGGTCAGTAACTGTGCATGGGTCTTCAAAGATGCCAATGTTTTCATTAAAAAAACAAAAAACAAATACTTTTAAATTGTGGGAGACTGTATAGGTATTAGTATATGTGTATTATATTACTATTTATATGTACTGTATGTATATATGATTTATAAGCAGAATATAAAGTTACTATAACACACATGCATAATTGAAGGGACTGTTCTGGTGTATTGAGGAAATTGGCCTTAGAGCAGCAAGGAGGGTACATCCCGTCCTGTATGTGGTTGGAATGTTTGATGGAGCAGAATGAAGAAGGCCAAGTGTACACAATGTATTGCTTATCTGATTTCGCTCACTACAGTCTGATAACCACATCCTTCAGAAAGCACATTGAGCAAAATACTTTTATGATTTATGACTTACTTTTTTTTTTAATGCATTCCGTCTAGAAACCCATGTTACACAATGTGCGTGGAAACGTTCATAGGCTGAATGCAAATGTCGCTATTTACTTATAATAAACCTTTGGTTTCTTTCCACTGTGTTCAATAAATCAACATCACAATCTGGTGGTTGAAGGCCATAGAACAGCATTATTAACCAAATAGCACATTTAACTTGGGAATAGGATACTTTAAGGACACCTTCCTGTCACCTCAAAAAAAAAAGTTCTATAATAAGCCTTTCATCATGTTCTGAAAGGACATACATTTTTATTAAAATAAGTACAAAAGAAAGAGAAAAACCTATCCCTATAATAATAATAATAACAACAAATCATTTAACCAGGAAAGGTACATTCAGATTATTCTGGTTTTCAAGTACATCCTGGGGATGTTACCTTAGCCCAAAATCTTATCTTTATTATATGATAGGATGATTATTACCTTCAAAAATAAATTCACTATTACACCTTACGTTGTCTGGTGGTGCTTGTTTCAAGAGATTTGCTGTCTTCAGATTTTCTGCGAAGGAATGATAAACAGAGAAACGCAAATTAAATAGATATATGTGTAAGTGGACATATGGGTTGTTATAAAATTGTAACTTACAGGTTAGTAGACTCGTCTGCATCTTGTTTAATATCTGTAAAGATGAGAATACAGACATGTCAGACTGTTATTAAAGTAAAAAGAAAAATCTGAATTTACAATGACTCTTGACAGTTCCAATCTAGAATATATATACATACATTCACACACACACACACACATATAAACATATAGTCAAATTCCACAATAAGCATGCACTACTGGATGTCAATTAAATGTGCCCCATGCTAGCAACCAGCAGTTTAGTTAACCATTCCAAAAGATTGTCAGCACTTCTGGGGCTTGGCAAATAAGAAATAACCTTTATTTTAATTCATAGTCAAGGTTTCAGCTTAAAGGTATCCTGATGAAAATTTATAATTTTAAGCTGAAAAGGCAACTCTGACATAAAATGTACATTTTAATTGTAAAGCCCCCAAGAGTGCTGACCTATTTTTTAATATATACATAAACATAAATATAAATATTGTCTAACCATTTAATATTTAATGTTGCATTTAAGCATGCAGTTCAGAATCAAATGTAACTGCAGTGCAGACCATATATAATGTTTAACAAAGGTTGACTTTCCATCCTAATGCAGCATATTATCCTAAATGCCATTACTATGCTTATAGTCAGATTTGTCACACTTATAGAACATTAACATAGGCCTCAATTTCATATTTTTGTATAAGCGTTTCAAATTATTTAATATTTTGAAAAGTATTGTACTAGTTTGAGATTTTTTTTAAATATAAATAAATCTTTTTATATATGATGTATTTTTGATATTTTAACATTTTTCAAAAAATATGTGCAAATGTTTTTTTATTATATTACATCATTTGAAAAAGCTTATCTAAAAATATTGAAATAGAGGTGATAATTAAATGTAAATGTTCGAGTACAAAAAAGATGTCTATAACTTGCCTTCTTCGGACTGTTTTTTTTTTGTTTTCATCTCATACAGTAATATAAGAGAAACTAATACTACAACTTCCGCAGCAATTGCCAGAAAGACCTTAAGCGGCACCGTGTAACTGAGAACGCTCAGTTGAACCTGTCCTTCGTGTTCTCCGAATGCAAAAACGGCCTTGCAAATGTAAATCCCACTGTCTTTTTCTGAAAGGTTTGATATATGTAGTTTACTTTCATTGACCTTCTTACTGCTATCCTCGTACTTAATTGGTATCAAAGATAGATTTAGCTGTACCTGTAAGAAAATAGAGTTGCAATAGCATTGAATAAACACATTTATCTGACAATTAATATGACATATCTGACAATTAATTTGAATAAAAATAGCTTGATTGCAAAAATTACGATTGTATTGTGCTAGCATGTTGTTATACTACAAGGGGTTTTAGAATTGGAACTCAACTGCAGCTTGTAGAACTCCTTAATTACAATAGCAAGAAAGCGGAGAATTATTAAGGATACTGTAGCTTTAAATCAAAGTGGTGGATGCAGGCAGTTAGTGAAGAGAGCGAAGTCTTAATGAATGCAATAATATTTTAGTAACTGAAGATTATAGCATGCAAGTAACAATGCATTAGGAATAACTGCAGGTTATATCAAGCAAGAAACAGTTCATTAGTAAGTAAGTCTTCAGAGATTAGGGTAATTAGTATACTTAAGATTGATGGGAGTTCCTCTCAAAGGGGGAGCATTTTGGGTGACTGCATTATTTTCGTTGTTGGGTCCACTATACTCCCTGTAAATTCAGTAGCTCAGTGTTGCCCCTTCTGGCAAGTCTGACTGTTTCTAACATTTTGTGACGAAGCTGGGCAAAATTGATCCGGTTACAGAAATAAAACAAAAAACAAGCTGACATGTACAAGATTTTTATCTTTGTGATGCAGTGATCACTACATATTTGACTGTTTTGTTGGGTAGATAATGGCCCACTTCAACAATCACTGAGATGTGGAAAGGATGCAGCTAAGCTATAGATCAGGGGTAGGCAAAATATTCCTTCCAAATTTACTCTGCGATTACAAAAAGAAAGGAAAAGAAGCTAGGGGGTAAACTGAAATGTTACATTTCCTTAGCTTTACTTTACTGTTGCTACACAATCCACATGCATTGACTGTCCTTACATTTTGAAAAATTAACTGAATTCCTTCCTTTGTTTAAAACTGAGCACAGATAACCAGACACTAGGACAGTGTTGCAAGAACTTGGAATTCAGGTGTTTGACCAACGAAGTTTGTACAATGGAACTCCCTCCTTCACAGAAATACACCACCATACTTGTCGCTGAGACCGTTTCACGAAGATGTCTCATTTTATTCCCTTAAAGAAATTACCCTCATCCTCCGAACTTTCCAAAGTCTTCATAGACAATATAATCAAATTACATGGATTTCCTGAAGAAAAAATCTCAGACAGAGGTACCCAATTCACTTCACGATTCTGGAAGGAAATGTGTTCCTCACTTCAAATCCAACGTAAACTCTCTTCTGCATACCATCCTCAAACCAATGGCCAAACAGAACGAGTCAATCAATGTCTGGAACAATACCTTTGTTGTTATTGCACGTATTTGAAGGGAGTTTAAAAAAGATTGATGGGAGTTGTCCTCCATGGGAATGTATAGCTTGAATCCAAGGGATGAATGATATACACAGTCCGGTTTTCAGGAGACTCCAATACAATCCGTGGTCAGGGGTTCAGAGAAGGCAAAATCCTTTATAATAGTCAAAGGTTTGGTAACTTTGTGAACGAAGAGCTTAGCCGGCATTTGAATGCGGAAATAGGTCCGAGAATCACCAAGCGGTTTGAATCTGGTGCGGTCTCTCTATATAGCATAAGAGAGCCGCGTCAGAAAGGGGGCAGGGCCGGCTCCGCATACACGAAATGCCGGAACGGAGCCGGAACAGTTACGGCCTCAGTCTGACACATGTATTAACACAAACTTATGATATCTATATATTTTGTAAAAAAAATGACATAACTCCACCAAGCATACTATGTAGCAGAGAATAGCACCTGGTAGTATAGACTCCCATAGCTCTTTGCTAATGCATATTCATTTAAGTGGAACTACCTGCAAAGGGTAAGTAGACAAGCATGAAATATATGGTGGAGACAAGCTATGGTTATCACTTTAAATTTGCTGCATATTCCACTCTGACAAATATGGGAATAATATGTATACTTGTGAATAGAAAAGAGAATTAAGACAAATACAGAGGTAGTAATTCTCTACACTCTAAATAAAAATAATTATGCATGGCAGGTGAAAAAAAATGAAATCTCTAACATGTTTATTTATTGAGAGTTTCAGATGCTAACCACACAATATTTAAAAATAAATTTTTAGTAGAAGGAAGGATGTTAGCACATATGTATGTTTGTCTACAATGTAGTGGGTGTGGGTGTCATAGCATACAACCAATGAAACAGTGTAACTACTTTCTCACGCTACACATATTCAAAGCCAAAAGCCACAAGCCATATTCTGAAAACCTGGAAAGTTTTACTTGCATATTAATCACAGAAGTACATGAGATATATTAAACTAAACTTAAACAGTAAAATCATATTACATCATACCTGGTCACTTCCATTAGTTTGATACCAAATCCATTTCTTAGGCTTATATATTGAGCTGTCACATTTCATGACAATGGAATCTGCGATATAGCTTACAAGAGGCTTTTTTTCACTCTTGACGGTAGGTACTAGAAGAGAATATTAAGTACACAATATTTAGAATATTCAGAAGGTAGAACAGAAACATTTAATGCATTCTGCCAAAATCTATTTAAATACCAAATATTATTGCAGGACTCCCAACCATACTGATTTCAGCAGGACTGTCCCGATTTGTGGATTCTGTCTTGTCATCCCTATTTAGATCCCCGGTCTGGGATACCAGAGAACTGTCTCGAACAAGTATAGCCCAAGTGCATCATTAGAAGAGCTTGTGCACTAGGACTCTGTAGAGCGCACGTGTTACAAACGCTCCTTCCCACGTACGTTTGCCACGGACTTCTGGAGGAGTGTGGAAGCTGGCCTTCTGCCCACCGACTATGGTCCAGGTCTGGGACACAGTTTGGGAGCTACGCTGCCCAGCCGCCATTAGTAGCTTTCCCTGGGTGTCCCTGGTTCGTCACTTTCCCTTCATGCGAATAGAACCGAATGCTAGCTCTATGGCGGCCGTTCGCATGAGCCAAACCAACAAATAGTCCTCAGCAGTACTTAGCTGCGACCGCTATGTAACTAATTTCCTCATGAGGACTTCGTAGGTTCCCAGTCACCTCAGCAGGACATAGACAGACTGGCCATGCAGGTTCCCAGACAACCTGGTTTGCAGTTTTGAACCACTTTGAAATTGGCCAGGAGAACGCTTTTTGGAGGAAAGGTGCCTGAGACTAAGGGTAAATAACGCTACCTAAGAGCCAGGTGGAGCACCAGCAAAAGCACCAAATGCCCTGGAACTATTTTGGGCATAGGACCACGTGTGCGGCCGGTCAGAACTTTAATGCAGATCTAAGCGCTATCTGGAGAACTTGTGCTCTCAGATCAGGGCTATTTAAAGATGTATTATTTGTGGGGTTATTTATGTTTTTATTATGTTTTGGGGTACTTGTTTTTATATTTGTGTGTTTGGCCCTTCTGTTCCTGGGAGATAATTAACTTTAATTAAATTATATCTTTCATTAAATTATATCCCAGGCCCAGAGATTCCTGGGAGGGGCTTGTGCTGAATACAGTGGGGACCCCCCTGCTGGGGTCTGCGCATGAAAGGTCAAGTTTTCTCATTAAAATCAGTTGTACTTCCAAAACTATATGTCGTCTAGTTACTTAGAGGGGAAGGGCTATAATCACTGCTCAGCACCTTGTTACAGCTCGTGGAGGATTCGGCAGGGAAAGTCCTTGTGACTGTCCTTCCTGTTCCAGGATGGTGGGGCTCCAGGAGGACCCCAGTCATGCCACGGAAACTGGGGCCAAAGCGCTGAGTTTTTCCCTCTGTTCCAGCTAGGAAGCGGCCCTTGTCGTAGGTACTCAGCCAGGGCACAGGGAGCTCTACTACAGTACGTAAACAGGGACTGCCCTCAGTGGGCTTGCCTGAATAATGGACAGACAGCCTGGCATATATTTACGCCATGTTGACCTTTCAGTAATTTGCATATACCCTCCCCCATTGATGCAATTGCATTATTGCCTTCCTCCCTTTACTTTCAATATAAATCGACGTTTCAGCCCTCGTTTGGGGTTTTCCTCAGGATCAAGATTGTTGAATGAGGGCTGAAACAACAATTTTTAATGGAACTACTTCAATAAAGAAATACTTTTAACTTCATCTAAGACCGTGAGTGCAAGCCATTTTTTGTATACATATATATACACAAACATACACTTTTTTACCACAACATATATTGCTCTAAAATGTGCAGGGGGAAGGAAGAATGGTAACTAAGGAGGCATGTGGGGGAACAAAATTTGTCGCATGGCTGGCTATAAAAAAAAATAACTTAAAGCTGACTTTGTGCACTGTGCAAATGCTCTTGCTGCTTGTCTCTCTAACAACATCCTCTGTCATGTTCCCTTTTTCTGCTACACCCTCTGCATCCACCTCTTTCTCTGACCCTGGCTATGTACCAGTTGCTTCTACCAGCTAGTAAAAAGGGAATGAAAGGGGTGGACAAGTGAATCCTGATTAGAGAGAGAGCAGCTAAGAACTGTGAAGCTTGTAAAATCAGCAGATAGATTAGGTTGAGAGACAGATAAGAGATACTGACATATGCTATGTGTAAGCTTAAATTGCATCCTTCAAATGTCAAATAAATTAATATTTAAATTAATATTTGTGAATAACTGTTAAAAATATTTAATAGTATGAAAAATATTTTAATGTTGTTATATTTAGATATATTGTTTCTTATAGGATATATATTTTTATATTTTAATATTTGGAAATTTTAAATTAAAAAAAAAAGTCAAAAGCTATGAAATCATTTGGAAGCTTATATTTTATATCTATTATATTGAGGCTTAAGTTAGTTAAGTTAGCAAAAAAATAAAAAAAATAAAAAACAACACAAATTACCTATTACAAACTGTGGCTATATGTACAATTCCCTATGGTTGAATTAATAAACCTGATTGATCTCTTTAACTCTGTATTTAATCATTATGCAGTTTCCCCTGAATTCATGCATACATTCATTTGAGACCTTGTGGTCAATTTCTTACCTTTTATATGAAATTCTGCTTTCACTTCTGTAGTAGAGTTGAAAATGCAAGTGTAGGTACCAATCATGTTTAGCGCCGACACAGCAAATCTAAATAAGAATAAATCATTGTTTAAAAACAAGGTAAAACACCAATATTGCACATGGAGAAGTTTTTATAAACATATTTTCAATGGCCACAAAAAAAAAAAATGTGTAAACAAATTAATGGTTTCGGTGTTTTCTTTACCCCATATCAACTTAAGTTCATTTGAATTGTTATTGATGCGGGACTGTTCTGACGTGTTAAAATTACTCTTGTAAGATCCAAGACGTGCCTGTCAGAGAGCTCTGATTGGCTGGCTTGCAGGTTTTAAGCTTCTCTATAGTTAGATGAGGGTCATATTTTTACTTTTATTTACTTTTTATTGGGGCAGCAGCCTAGTTGACCTTCATGCCCCCTAGGTTTTTAACTGTTTGCCCATTGTCTACCAGTGCTGCCAGTGTGAAAATAGTCCAGATTTAAAACTGTATTTTTGTTTGTGCCTTTTAAAGAAGTCTTTGTAAATGTCCTAATCCTATACTTTCATGTAGAATTAAGATTCGAAAAGCATTAATTTGTAAGTAAGCACTGAATGCATCCAGCCGACTGGTGCAGGTTTGGTCAGGTTGGCTGAATCACAACCAGTACCGGCTTTAGTAAAAAATAAGAATTGCTCTTCTGGCTGCAGGGGCATTACTAGACTATTTTGCGCCTTAGGCAAGACCTCCCACCCAAAATAAAAATGGACAACCCCCAATTCTCCCCCCAGCTGCTTTGTGTGCCTCTTTCTCCCCCTAGTCCCTTTGCATGTCTTTCCCACTCAGCCCCTTTGCGTGTCTCTCCACCCAGCCCCTTTGCGAGTATCTCCCCCTTGACCCTTTGCATATCTCTCTCCCACAGCCAATTTGCATGTCTGTTTTCCCCCTTCCTCAGCCCCTCTGACTGTGTCATTGTCCCCTTTCCAAGCCACTCTGTGTGTTTGTCATTGTCCCTTTCCCCAGACCAGGGGGTATTTTGTTGCTCTATTTAGTGACCTCCCATTTGCAGTTATGACGGAAAGGGGACAGTTGGCACTGACTGTAGATGCTTAGGAATCTTTCAATCAAGTACCATTGGGGAGTAAAGAGCTCTCTGATAGTCCCATATAGAGACACAATACTCACCTTGTCCTCCTCTGTGGATCAAGGGGCAAAATGGGGTTGCCAACCATGCCATCAGCATCCACCATAGCTGTCATTATAGTCAGCATATAGGGGGCTCCCATATGCTATGCTGCCTCCTCTAATTACATATATGTCACTCATGTCATAGTAATGCTGCATAATAGCGTTAAATAGTTATATTACTACACTTACTCATATGACGTATGCCATTTATTCTCTGTGGTATTATTGACATATTTATTTTTGCTTATTGTTGTATTCTCAAACGTCCAGGCCACATCATTTATCTGCAATTCTTCTGAATCAAGAAGCAGCTCACACTCCAGTTTCAAATGTGCCGGGCTGTCAAGAATTATTTCTTTCTGTATGACTTTTTTTGTCAAACCTGCTCACAAAAAGGGAAAATAGAAATGTCTTATTGTCATAGTTGTAAAAGCAAAGCAAGCTGAGCGAAATGAATAAAACACATAATTTGAACTGAGTAATTGATGTATTTATCCACAAAGCGACTGCAATTTAATCCATAAAGACCAATAAACCCCATTTAGTAAACAAAGTCTAAATGAATAAACCAAATAGGTGTAATAAAGTGGCTTAGATTGGTGTTTCAGGGTAGAAACTTATTTTTTGGCGCACGTTTTACACTTTGAAGAGGTCGCCCTTTCGTTACAGTCTGACTGCTGTTACCGGTATACCCATGATTTAGCTAAGTGGTGTGCCTAGGTGAGTGCCATTTTCACGTAGCATGTATCTCGCTCTAAAAATTCTAAACATTGGCCTTAAATCAAGCTCCTTGTTAATAAATAGCAGTCTCCAACAGTTGCAAGCTGTCATTATTAACAACAGCTGTTATTTAGTAGCTGCTACTTCCTGACAGGTTTCAAGACTTAACACTATTTGTTAGCTAGGGCCACCAATGACTTATGCTCACGAAGGCTGGTTAGTTGCAGATTAACACTTGCTGGTAAAGCACCGGCATAAGTTATCACCACACCAGACTTTGTCGATATCAAAGGCCCAATTTTAGCATGGTTACTTCATCCTGAGATTGGCCTTAGCAGGAGATAGCTGCAAAATATAACATTTATTAAATTGTGATTTTGAACTATGCCATATGCACAATATGTAACTTCTGAGGTTCATATCCTCTGTGGGAAATTTCCTTGCACTTTACTTATATAAAGAATACTTGTATTTTTCACATCATGTGTCTAGCCATTTAATTTATTTTACCACTCTTTGATATGGTTTCAAATGCTCTAGGCTTTCCATGTAATACCATATAATTAATATGTATTTTTCCCATAAGATGTATAGGCACTTAGTTATTGCTAACTACTTTAAAAGCCCAGAGGTTCACTTGTGATAAGTGTTTTGGGTTAGTGGCAGCCAGTAATGACTAATGACAGGGTTGGGAATAAGTCAGAAGCCAGTTGCTGAGTAGAGGTTAGCAGCTCCAAAGAGAATAATGGACAGTTTTTTTGTGTCTTTAATACGGCAGCAGTTTTATAGCAATTTTATTACTAAAGTATAGTATGCTCTTTATTTACCTATATCCATACATACATACTTTTTTTTTTTTTTTAAACATTCTTTATTTTTCGATGCACATAGGTAGGCACCATCTTACTTGCGATGCCACAACAGCAAAGTGAAGTTATGAGATATCAAACATGGAAATATAAGTACATGGTATAGAAAGACAGTGCATATTTTTATAATGATAGGAAACAGGCTAGTGAGGCTTGCTTTACTAGCTTAATAAGCACATTGCTGAAATTGATTAAGCTTAAAGGACCACTATAGTGCCAGGAAAACATACTCGTTTTCCTGGCACTATAGTGCCCTGAGGGTGCCCCCACCCCCAGGGGCCCCCTCCCGCCGGGCTCTGGGGAGAGGAGGGGGTTAAAATCTTACCTTTCTCCAGCCCGGGCGGGAGCTCTCCTCCTCCTCTCTGCCTCTTCTCCTCCTCTTCAGCTGAATGTGCATGTGCTGCAGGAGCTGCGCACGCATTCAGCCAGTCTCATAGGAAAGCATTCCTATGGACGCTTGCGTCTTCTCACAGTGAGAAGCATGCAAGCGCCTCTAGCGGCTGTCAAGAGACAGCCACTGGAGGCTGGATTAACCTATTAAAAAATGGGTTAACCCTAGCTGGACCAGGCACCCAGACCACTTCATTAAGCTGAAGTGGTCTGGGTGCCTAGAGTGGTCCTTTAACATTACAAGTTACTTAGGGTGTAAAAGCTGTATCACACGCTAAGACGTTTTTCATAGTAAAAAAACAAAACAAAAAAAACAAGAACAAAACAGGATGCTAGCAATGGCATAGATTTCAGTCAAACTGTTTAACAATAGGTTACTGCATCACAAGCTAGTGGTAGTAAAGGAGTTTTGAACGGATAGCTAGTTGCTAATAGAGCATAATACCGGCAATCTATTCAATCAGGATGTAATATAGCAAAAGGACTGCATACCTCAACCATCATAAAGCAAAGGCTAAATCTACTGCATAAAACAATTATAATGGCAGCTGTTAGTTATATGACATGGTCACTCCTGTCTCACGTGAAGTCAGAACATGAAATGTCAATAATGAAAAGATCAAAATAAATACTCAGCGTGGTGCTAGAATTATACATGTTGGGCAAGCGCTATGCCAGAGATAAAGTCCCGGTCTCCATTCAGCCGATGCCCTGCAAAGGTAGAGCATGGTAGTCTCTTCTGCCCCAAAGACTGTACAGTCCTCCCATAACTGCGTGGGTAAGAGTCTCTGGGAGAGGGAAGGTAATCAGCAGATGCCCGCTTGTGACGCAGTGCCGCCAGCTGCTACTGCTGGGTATCGCCATCAGGCGTATCGGAGAGACAGCATGTCAGGGCACTGTGTGGAAAAGGACCAAGCAAGCTTCAGTAAAGGCCCCTGCTCTGCTGGGGGGTTAGGGTGAGGTGGGGTTTGATTCTGGCGTTTTTCACCAGCATAGTGTTTGACCCATCTCCTCTGCCGGGCTCATTTGCGGCTAGCATGTAGAGGGTTCCCACTCCCTCTCCTGCAGCTCCTTGAGGTTACACCGCTTCTGCTCCCCTTCAGCTTCCCTCCAGGAACACGCCGGTGATGAGCATGAGAGCGAGGTTGTTAAGCTAGTCGGTTCTGCAGGATCACAGCTTGGATTATAGGAATGTAGATAAGTCTCAGTTCATGGAGTTTTGTCCAGAACTGTGCACATACCAGATCGAATGCCTTAAGGAATGGGTCCTCGTGTGTGCGCTTGAGGCAATATGCCCGCGGTTGTATGATCCAGCACTGCGGCCATTTTGTTGGTAGGCCCAGACTCTCCAGATCCATGGTCAGCCAGAGGATGCAGCGGGGCAGGTGCACCAGTGGCAGCCGGGATATCCCTCACCGGCAGGGGGGAACGAGGTATCTCACTATGACGTTCCCAGTTGCTTGTGGATAGAGGGATTGTACGTCTTCCTCACTTCTGTGTTGCGTAGTAGGCCGAAACTAGGCCTCAGGCTTAATCTAGTGAGATGCTGACTGGGCGATGTGGTTCCAAAAGTTGAGATTGGTAGTCCCCTGGTTGCAGTGGGACAACAGGGTAATTTAACTACACAGAATTGTTAATTAAACCTATTGCAATAGATCTCCAGGAGCTCATGCGACCAACCGCCTTGCAAGTCAGGCCCAGCCCCCCCCTCAGGCCTCGCCCCCACAAACATACATACTTATATGTTTGTCACCACAGGAGTTTTATATGGTTATAGTTTTCAGTACGGACAAATGGACAGACAGACAGAGAGAGAGCATATTTACAAAACTGGGTTTTAGACAGGAATCTGAGTGATCAGACCATTATATTATACATTATATAAGCCAATTGCTATAAAATGAATCAATTTACCGGGGATAGATATACTGTGTTTAATTACGGTGTAGTTAGATATGTTTTCATCTTTTCTTTGAGAAGGCTGTGCAGCTGGGTCTGGATCTATGGGGAAAAAAAAAACAAGTATTAACAAGGATGACTTTGTGTCTGAACCTGATGACACAACTATCCCTAAGCAGAACATGTATTGCAGACATATGTAGGCATCTTCCTCTTACTGCAGACCACAATATAGCTGTTACAGTTACCGCAGGTCCTTCCCATCTCATGTAGCCATACTACATGTTACACCATACGTCATTCTAGCATCATGACTGACGTTAAATACCTTTCCTATTCCTGGATTCCTCATTCATGCAACATCTTTCTCAAACTTTCCTGTGTCACAATTATGATGCTAGACAATAAGGCTGCAAATTGGTATCCAAGAGTGCGATATATGTTTATATGAGCGGCTCTGTGTCACTCAAACAGCCATTGTGAGCACTGGATCCAAAGTAATTTGTGAACTCTCCAATTAATAAGCACAGCAGGATCACCAGACTTGAAAAAACCTCTGGTTGAGGGGGCGAAACGCATCACGTGATGTTAGGCTCAGAAAACACACGGGCTGTTTTGCAGAGAGTAAGAGCCATGGTCCAATACTTTATTGCTGTTTGTCATTGGTTCAAGGACAGTTAAAAAAAATCAGTTATTTGCTGCTGCTCTACAAAAGCACTGATTTTGGAAGGTATTTTTATGTTGTTATACTGGAGTCTGGTGATTCTGCTTCCCTTATTAATTGAAGAGTCCGTAGATAACTTTGGATCCAGCAATCACAAAGATCCTGATCTTCCCATCTCTTGCACTATTTGTGCTATTTGTTATACTATTTATTTCAAGATATAAAAGAAAATTGCAAGTTGTATAAGTTTGCAATAATATTTTTTTGCCCACAATACATTTACAGTTTTAAATTTTTTATTTGATATTGGTTCATTCCAGTTTACTCTTTGCTTGCTTACAGGCTAATTCACCTACTTTAGCACCACATTCAGCTCAGCTGCTCTAAGAACCAGTAACTTGCAACTGTCCTATCTAGTCTATCTATTTGGTATGGTTGACCTGTATTTTGAATGTTAGGGTCTTACACATCTAGGAAGCAAAAGGAACGGGGTGATATCTTTAAAATCATAGGATTTATTGTTTAAGAAAGATTAAAAAACAAAACATATTTTAAAAGACTTCTCCACATAGCTTTAAGAACATTTACATATCAACAAGAAGATGCAAAATATCAATGGAAAACCCTTTGAGTAACTGTTTTTCTTTTGGCTTCTATTGCTGTGGGAAATTGCATATTTATATACACAGTATATTACTGGAACACTTCATGCACCCTAACTTCTATAGCTTGTGTTGTCAGGTAGATTAAATAGGCCTATATCCCCTTTTACTCACAGACCCCCCAGTTTTAGTGCACCGTTTTCCCGTTATAAATCTTCTTATGTGTTTCCTGCGCTAATAGTCATAAACTATCTTGACTACAACACAGCGTAGATTATTTTCTGATAAATATTCCTTGCGACAGATGTAATAATAAAAACAAATAATTACAAATGACTAAAGTTTTTTTGATATACAGTAAGTTGCTAAATATCCTGTTAAAATATAAAACCGCCCACAGAAAGAAGCCGAAGGGGGCCCTGCAAGGCGAGGTGGCTGCAGCAGACAAAACTGCACACCCTCTGGGGAAGAGAATCACCAGGAGTATGACTCTAGACACCGCCGCTGGAGAGCGCATCCACAACGTACATGGAGAGCCTTAGGCTGCTTCCGGCACCGGAAAACACTGACAGCCTGAAGCCACAGTCCTGGAGGGAAGACCACAAAAGCTCACCCCTGCCTAAACCTCTTGCAGAGAACTGAAAGCTGCCTATACTTACCCACTGGCCAACTCCCTACATACCGGCATACTGCTGAAGCTGCTCCAGCTCCATCTCTGGTCATGGGCCCAGAGACCCGCGGCATTGTGATATGTTGCAGGAATGTGAGGTACCCCTGACAGGCATCGGTTGAATGAGACCCCAGATGGAGCAATCAGTCCTCCCAAAGACACTTTGCAGAAGCCTATGTGTGGCATAGGGAGGGAACACTGAGCAGAATATTTACCAGCCTCACAACCGAACTGTAATCCACTCATTCTTATTAGCCACACTTCCAGTGGTATCTTATTCTTGCTTTATGTCCCTGTTTTTTGTTTTCTATTCTTCTGTTAGCATCAGGGGCGGACTGAGCACTTGGGCATTTCGGTCATGGACCAGCCAGCCTGCACTTAGTGAGGGGCCCTCACGACCTACTGTGGGCCCCTGTTATTAAATAAGTTCCCCTCTTGGTTGGCCGCAGCAGAGAGCTTCGTAGCACACTGAGAGACAGCCCAGGGGCCTTATCAAAGACCCTCCAGGTTGTCTCACACTGTGCCTGTCTAGTGCAGCATGTAGGCTGAAAAAAATCGTCAGAGGCTCCAATAGCAGAGCCTCTGCCATGAGATGAGCACAGCACGCACTGCTCTCAGTGTTGCAGGCAGCCTGACCCCACTGCAGTTCCATGGCCGGCCAGAGAGGGAGCTCTTCGAGACACTTGCATGGCAAGGAGGAGGTGAGACTGTCTGCACCCACCAGCGGTGTAAACAAGTGTATTCTGCCACTGGACCAACAGGTATAAGGATTCCCTCTCCATGGACAAAGGTAAGGCTCAGGGAGGCGAGAACACATTATTTAACTTTTTTTTCACAGCTCTTATCTTTCCACCCACTACAACATTCATCACCACCTATACCCCTTCATCAAGAAACCAATTACAAGCTTCTGTCTGGCTATTATCGCACACCCACCCTCCTACATAGGATATTCCCGGAGGCATCCCCCCTCTGCTGGAGGTGCGGCCTGGGAGAAGGGACGATCAAACAAATCTGGGGGAGTTGCCCCAAGATCACTCCTTTCTGGGACATGATACCGGACACACTGACAGACATCCTCGGCAAGCCACAACACCTCCCTGCCGATTTGGCCTTATTGCATCTCACCTTAACGAGAATTCTGACATACAAGAAGTCCATTGTTAGACACCACCTCAATGCGACTAAGTCGTTAATCCCAGTCTATTTGAAACAAAACTTGATCCCCAGCAGGGAACAGTGGCTGGAACAAGTGGAAGATATTCAGGCGGCGGAGGCCGTCCAGGCGGTGCTTTGGGGCACAAGTGAAAAACATGCAGACCGATGGCGCCCATGGTTTCTCTACATGGCAGACAGGGCAGGAGGCAGCAGGGTCACTGGAGAGACTGGGGTGGGGACTCCGCTCCAGGTTCCACTATACACTAACCTGCAACACACACTTTAACAATTTCCTTAGTGCCCTCCCATCTCTCTCTTTCCTGATCTCACTCTCATACCCCTTCCCCTATTCACCTTGACTTCTTTTGACTTGTTTTTGTTTGTTTGTTTTGTGCAATTCGACCCAACGGCTTGAAAACTTACTCTAAAACTTGTAACAATATGCACCAACTACCACTGGTAGGGCAGTTAGTGATGCGATAAACCCCGATCCTACTGAAACTACGTTCAAGGGGAACCAAGCTGTTTCAATGGGGGAGACCTCAAAATCAAGTTGCGCAACCCACACCTGATGCCTACGCAAACAGGGGAAATATTAACTGCTCTCTCAAAAGTAGTGGGATCCACAATGATCCACAATGTAACTATGCTGTGGTATATTTTTCCTGTAAAACTGTTTATGTTCAATTGCAACCCTTAATTGTATATCCAGAAGAAATGTTGTAATGCTGAATCTCCTTTTCAGAGCCTGCGTGCTCCTCTTCTATCCTACGTTTCCTTGACCACGGAATATTTGAATAAAATATAATTTTCAAAAAAAATATCTCTTAGTCTCTACATTTACTATTGAAATAGTAGACCTGCTATGTGAAATATGATTCATTCTATTGGAAAGTGTACCATTGCCACAGGGGCACCGGGTGCCTGACACAGCTCACACATGTAGGGGCCGGCGACATGGAGGCAGAGCCAGAAATAAGGAAGGTGGTGGCTGACACACATGGGGACACTGAGACATGGTGATACAGACACACATGGGAACACTTGGGGACACACTGAGACACTAGGGGACAATGAGACACTAGGGGACACTGGGAGACATGTTGACACAGACACTTAGGGACACAGACACACATGGTGACACTTGAGGACACTGAGACATGGGGAAACAGACACATGGGGACACTGAGACACATGGGGACACAATGTCCCCAAGTGTCTCAGTGTCCCCATGTCTCCCAGCCAGTGTCCCTGGTGTCTCAGTGTTCCCATGTCTCCCAGCCTGTGCCCCTGGTGTCTCAGTCTCCCCATGTCTCCCAGTGTCCCTAATGTCTCAGTGTCCCCATGTCTCTCAGTGTCCCCATGTATCTCAGTGTCCCCATGTCTTTCAGTGTCCCCTAGTGACATGGAAACACTGGGAGACATGGTAACACAGACACTAGGTGACATGGGGCACTGAGACACTGTGATACATAGGGACACTGTAATACATAGTCTGTGTCCCCAGGTCTTCCAGTGTCCCAAGTGTCTCAGTGTCCCCATGTCTCACAGTGTCCCTTAGTGAAATGGGGACACTGGGAGACGTGGGGACACAGACACTATGGGACACTGGGAGAAATCCATCTATACATCAGAATCAAACTGTAAGTAGTTTTTGGTGATTTTACAGAATTTTCTCTTATGTCACTCCTTGTGATTAACATCAAGTCACGCATACATAATAAGTTATGCAAATTAGTAAGGCCTGTATTTTTTTCCAGGAAAGGTGGCAACCCTAACTACTCTTCACATACTATTGCTTAAGTATGGAAACTTAAGAGGGATATATGGAAACAAAACTTGTGTGGACTAGCTGAAATGAAATTAGTTAAGGTAATGCTGACTTTGGACTCTCTAACACTGTGGCATCTTCCCTTTCCTCTACACTCACTACATCCACCTTTTCTCTGTCTCAGACTGTATGCCAGGAGCTTCTCCCTGCTAGTAAGAAGGTAAGGAGACTAGGGGGCAGTCTTTAGAAAGCATGGAGCGAGCGCATCATTAGACGCAATTATGCCAAGCTCAGGATGCTGCTGGCCAGCATGCATGATTGGCGGGTAGCCTGACATGCATTCATGTCAGACTAGCCTTCTGAATCTTTGGGCAGACACGCCTCCTTTTTGGACATGTTCATCCCTTTCGGAAGTTCTGGTTACATGATCTGCGTCAGTGGCCCACCCTTTTACAGCGCCCATTGACTTCCTGCTACACTGCTGTTAGGGGGTATGGATTTACTTGAAAGATGAAAGCATGAATTAGAGAGAGACTAGCTAATTTTAAGAGAAACTGAGTTTTCTTATAGCTGCATCCTATGTGCTTCCATCCAGCAACATCTCCACCAGATATATAACGCTTGAGAGGTAGGACTGTTTTAGTGTTTTTGGTCGATAACATTCTGTACTTGGGCCCCTCATATTTGTCAGCACCAGGCCCACGGGGCTCTTAATCTGGCACTGGTAATATGGCACAAGCACAGTATACATTGCTATTGGATCAGGCAAGAATGAACATCATGACTGAACCTTTCCAATAATCTTTACAGCTTTCAGGATCAAACTTATGAAAGAAAAATGTTATCTAATCTATTTCATTCTGTGGTTACTAGAGGGAGATTGATCCAGGCAAAACAAGTGCTGTTTTGGGTGCAAATTGCATAATGTTGAGAGACATTCTGTTGCTTTCCTATGTGATTGCTTCTTATATAGCTCTTTGCACCAGAACAGTACCTGTTTTTCTTACTAAATATCAGCCATTGTCTCATATTTAGCACTGGCACGTTGCATGTTTCTGGCCTAGATTTTCTTCCGTGAGTTACAGTTGGAGACAGTTCTACCATTGACATTTATGGGAGCAATGCTATTTGAGTACCAGAGATAGGCTTATCTCAGAATAGCATTAACTCCATGGCCTGCTGAGCATGTGCTTTACATAAACACTTGAAATTATGACTGCTATGTTTTTAACAAGACTGCAATATAGAACATGGAAAACTACCACAACAAAAAGGAATTGTCTTAAATTAGAGGGACAAAAGGTTTAAAATAATATCAGGAAGTATTACTTTACCGAGAGAGTAGTGGTTGCATGGAATAGCCTTCCAGCTGAGGTGGTAGAGGTTAACACAGTGAGGGAGTTTAAGCATGCGTGGGATAGGCATAAGGCAATCCTAGACATAAGAGACTAATGCAAGTATTAAGAAAATGGGACGGACTAAATGGGCCGAATGGCTCTTATCTGCCATCACATTCTATGTTTCTATGAATAATAATCTCATCTTCATAGGAATAAAATGGATGATGTTATATTTTCATTTCATATTTAAAATACATTAATTAAACAACTAAGAGGTCATATTTATCAAGGAAACAAACTTGGTGCTATTCTAGGATAAAGATGCTAAATAGGCTACAATCATGATGGAAACCAAAAAGAATGCCTCGCAACATTTAGCACTTTTCCCTGAATTTGGAACATAAAAAAAAACAAAAAAACACTCTAATTTGCCATCTGTCATGTGATACCTAGATCAATGTATTCTCAGTGGTAGGTTCCTGTATACTGACGAAGTGGGTGTGCTTGCTATACAGGAGAACTTACAGGCAGAAAAAAATGGAGAGGTGAATATAATGAGAGAGGGAGACAGCGGAAAGGAGAGAGATGTAAAAACAGAGAAAGGGAGAAAGGAAAGCAAAAATAAATAAATAAGAAAGGATAATATTATTGAGAAACAAGGAAGGTGATGGGGATAGAGTGGAACGAATACAAAAATGAAGACATAGAGAAGAGATGATGAGAGTGGGAGAACATAAAAGTGAATGGAAGGTGATATCTGTAATATGTATGTATTTTATACATAGTTTTGTAAAAGGTACATAAATATTTTACTCTGTCTACATAATCAATCTAAATATTACCCCATTAAGATGCATAGACCTTGTATTCTACTTTTAGCTGTTCTTCATACGTCCCATTACAATATGTAGACAATTTCTCTTCTACTTTTAATTTATTTCTTTATATCCCTTCGCAACTTCTGTTGGAGGAATGCGTTTGTTTTTCCAAACAGTGAAATAGCTTTAGAAAACAACATCTTGTCACTTGTTATTCTATACTGGTTCTCTGTGACTTGTACTGCCTGCAATACTGCTGCGTTCTTCCACATCAGCTTTCATTACTTGAAATGTTCACCTTCGGAGAGTCAAGGGCACAGCTCGCCCAAGCCATCAGGGATGTTTGCACATACAGAGACACTTACCTGTTTCACTGTCCATCACTCCGGAGGATGCTACAGATATAAGACCGCAGACAAAGGCCATGGTAATAGGATGCCATGGAGAGAGCAGCATGTTTCCTGTGTCATGCAATAGTCTGTTACCAGTAGAGATGTTAGTGTATATCGCTGGAGCGTGTGCACGCTGTCTGAATAAGGAGGCATGCTGCAAGAGGTCCTGACAGAGCAATAAATCAAATTGTCCCCAGTCCCTGAATGAATACTAAACTTAACCATTTCCTTCCCATATGGCGATCAATTTGGTGATTGCTCCAATGCTGAGTTAATTTTACATCAACCGTTACCTCCCCGTATCATGCCCTGACGGAAGACTTTTAACTCTTTCTTAACTTCCATGCCCTGACAGAAGACTTTTAACTCTTTCCTTCTCATATAGATCTCCTCTAGATTGAAAGCAGGGTCCTTATCAACCCTTTTCTTCCTGTAACATTTTTAAATTGTCTCATTTATTATTAAATCTCCCCCTTTATAATATTGTAAAGTGCTGCGGAAAAGGTGGGCATATATGAAAATATTAATAATTATAAAGCAATCTGTTTGCCAAGCCCTGAATTGATACTATGCTACACCCTATCCTTCCCATATAACAATGTGTTAATCCATCCAGAGATCCTACGCTGATCTTCCCAGCCCCGAGTGTTGAATTAGCTTTACTCTTTCCTTCTTATAAATTTACTCTTTCCCTTCTCAAAATATGCTTAACACTATCCTCCCCACATAACAATCAATTTACCAATCTCCCCAGCCTGTGTGAATCCTACATTTAACCCTTTTCTTCTCATATAACAATTTGCTGATATCCCAAGCCGTAATATAATTACTATGCTTTCCTTCCCATATAGCAATCAATATGCAGATCTTCCTAGCTCCAAGTGAATACTAAACGTAACACCTTCCTTCCTTAAAATATTACAATTACATTTACCGATCTTCCCAGTCCTGAATGAATACTAAGGTTAACCCTTTCCTTCCCTTTTAGCAAACAATTTGTCAATCTCCACATCCCTTAATAAATACTATGCTTAACCCTTTCCTCCCTGCATAGCAATTGAGTTGTCTATTCCGCAGCCTGTATGACAACTAAGCTTAACGCTTTCCTTCCCATATAACAATCTGTGTGAATTATAATAATATTATTTTTCTTTCCCACATTCAACAGAATGTTTCCTTTTTGTTAGATAACAGAAAATAATTTCCCATTTTTTTCTCTCCTATTTTCTTATCCCCAAATCATTATTTTCCTTACATTATTGATAATGACTACAAAATATACATTTCTTAAAGGATAATTGTCTCTGTTTTCTTCTGAATGTAAAAATATTCATATTAATGATATGTATTTCTTTTCCTGTAATGTGGAATATTGTAATTGTGCCGATAATCCATACGCAGCATTTCTCTCATTGCCTAGTGTGTGCTGCCATTTTGACTGATCTTTAGCTGTTATCCTTCCAAGATCAATTTCCCTTCCCCAGACACAGACAGACACAGGGAGATGACATCACCAGTTATCACCAAGCGTGTGGTACAGGATGCAGACAAAAGGGTAAGAATAAAAGCTAAATCAAGTTCAAGACACACAGATATGAATATATATTAGAGTGAAATAGTTGAAAAAATACATTATAAACCTCCCAACTTTGGCATTCTGTGTGGTGCGGGACACCAGTGAGAGGAGTAAAAGTGACACAATTTGCATCACTGGATCTGCTCAGAGTGTGTGGACCAGCGTGGATATCGGGATGGTTGGGAAGCATGATATTTTGAATTATGGTTTTTAATGGGAAACTAAAAGGGTAAAGTAATACACCCAAAATCAGTTATTTCTAGGATCACTGAATTGATTAAAGGGACACTATAGGAACCTAGGCAACTTCCTCTCATTACAGTGCACGGTCAGGGTCCTCTTAACCCCTTAAGGACACAACTTCAGAAATAAAAGGGAATCATGACGGAATATTTCCGTCACGTGTCCTTAAGGGGTTAATCTCATATGGACTGTACAAGTTCTGACAAAACAAAATCTAGAATTTGAGCTATAGGTCTGTTCAACCATAATTCATCTCTTTTATCTTTAGATGTGAAGCCACACCTTTTATAAATAATTCTGTTCGGGAGACACAGGGCTTTTATTTCACATCTAATATTTATATATGGAACACAATTTAATAAAAAAATTTAAAAAATTAAAAAGTGTGAGAAATTAAGTAATGTGATTTTCCAAGTTCTGCATGGTATTTTAACTGTGAATGTCATAATACTGTTTATACAATGTATAGCTTGTACTGCAAAAAAACACACATATTTGTGAGCTGTGAAGTCCCACTAGTACAACAATGCACACCATGTACAGGTCTCATGGTGTTTTGGAAAGTTATAAAGAGCTTGCCCATTTCAGTTTTTACACACATTTGCAAGGTTGGTTGCCTTTGAGACGGTATGGCGACATCGGCCATATATGTTTTACTGCTGTAAAAAAGTCATATTTGTGTTCAGCCACGTCTCACAAGTACAACAATACCCCTTATGTACAGGTTTTATGGTGTATTGAAAAGTTACAAGGTAAAAGTTAAGGCTTGCCCTTTTACATTTTTACACATTGAAATTTGCCAGATTGGTTATGTTGCTTCAAGACCATATGGCAGCCCAGGAATGAGAATTACTCCCATCATGGAATAACATTTGCAAATGTAGACAACCCAAGGAAAACAAAATGAGGTATGTTCCATCTTAATTAGTAGCCACTTAGTCATAAACCATGGACCAAGTTGGCGTTTCTATTTTGTTATGCATTTTTCATACAAAAAATGGATTTTCACTGATGATATAATAATCATGATATGTTTTACTGCTTTGAAACACTCATATTTCGTTTAGCAACGTCTCACAAGTACAAAAGTACCCTTGATGTACACACTTTATGTGATTTTGAAAAGTTACAGGGGCAATATAGAGCATTCCCATTTCAATGTGCTAGATTGTTTTGCTGGGCCTATGTTGTCTTTGAGACCACGTGGCAGTTCAGGAATTCAGATTATCCACTTTATTGAATACCATTTTGCAAATGTAGACATATAAAATATAATTCTAATTTTATTTGATATCAATATATCAATATTTTTTTTTTCATTTTGCAGTATTTGAGGGACTGCCTGACAACCCAGGATATTGCCTATTGTGGCCATGTGATCGTGACATCATCGCAATCACATGGCCCAGGCGGGCAGGACTTGTCGGAGGGGGACTGCCTGGGCAGGACTTGCTGAAGGGGAACTGCCTGGCCAGCGTTCTATGCCGCTGTAAAAGCATTTAAGCCTACTTAGAATGGCATAGAATGCCTTAATGGCATTAATGGGTTAAGGATTAAACTGTGAAAGAACCAGTTGGCCCATCTAGTCTCCCCAATTTTCTAAATACTTTCATTAGTCCCTGGCTTTATCTTATAGTTAGGATAGCCTTATGCCTATCCCACGCATGCTTAACCCCTTCAGGACCGTCAGCGGTAAAACGTGCGTTTGGTCCGCTAACAGTCATGAACAGTCATAGCGAAAAATGGGCTGCGGGAAGCGATCAAAGATCGCTCCCGCCGGTATAACACTGTAACTATCTGCCAGACATCCCAAGCAGATAGTAACAGCCAATTGCGGCGCGTGATCGCTCACAATTGTCTGCTGTCAAAGTGGGTGTTACAAACACTCACTTTGACAGTAATCTCTGCCCCTCTCTCCTCTGTAGCGTTTTGTGAGGCGAGAGAGATAGAGATTGTGATAGTTTGTTGCAGCAGTGTTCAGTGACCATCAGAAAGTATCAGTATTTTTTTTTTTTTAAATCACCTTTTAACCCCTTCCCTGCCAGATCTGTTACATCAGTGCATTTGTACTGTCTGTATTTATTTAATTATTGCCCTTAAAGGGTTGAATTTGTTTTCAAAATCTGTGTCTTGGTCTGTTTTGGTCTGTCTTGATCTGTCTTGGTCTGTCTTAGTCAGTCAGTTTCTTTCCCCCAAATCTCCATTAGATTTTTGTGACATTAGTTAGTTTAGGGATTGCTGTTTAGTCTGTTTTTGTTAGTCTGTTTTTGTGTGTTTGTAATTTGTTTTAGTCGTGTGTAAAACATGCAGCGTATGTATAACTTGCAGGAGGCATATGCCTTCTTAGCATCAGACTCTGACGCCACTGACACTGCGTCAGATTTTGACCCAGGTCGGTTTTCTGACACGTCTAGTGAAGACGACATGTCATCTGTGTGTGAGCTGGCTGAAGAAAGAAGCTGTGCTTCCTCTGCTACATCGAATGTGGAGGAGGACTGGGTACCTCCACAGTTAGCCGAGCCTAACGTCCCCCCTTTTAGTGCCAATGCAGTTAATGTGGATGGCTTCTTCCCAATGCAGTATGTAGAACTATTTTTACCATCTGGGAGGAGATTGCTTCCCAGACTAACTTGTATGCTACCCAATTTATTGATAACAATCCAGGTAGCTATACAGTCAGGGAGCATGACTGGCATCCCACAGATGTCCCAGAGCTTAAAAATGGGCTCTTACAATGCTCATGGGGATTATAAAGAAGCCATCGATTCGCTCATACTGGAGCACCAACTCAATAATGTCTAGTCCAGTATTCTCCCAAATCATGCCTAGAGCCAGATACGATAGGCTTCATTAAATACGCCCACTGCTAGACCATTTTCAGGTCAAATTTTTAGATGTTTATACCCCCCAACAAAATGTATCCATAGATGAATCGCTAATGAAATACAAAGGGAGATTAGGGTTCAGACAATACATCCCCTCAAAGCTCTCTAGGTATGGCATAAAACTGTACAAACTGTGCGAGAGCGAAAGTGTATACACGTTTGCCTTTCGTGTATATGAGGGGAAAGATGGTCTACTGGACCCTCCTGGCTGTCCTGACTCCCTGGGGACAAGTGGGAAACTTGTATGGGACCTACTAAACCCCTTGATTAATAAAGGTTACCACCTTTATGTGGATAATTTTTATAGTAGTGTCCGTCTGTTTAAAACACTTTATGGTTTACAGACACTGGCCAGCGGCACTGCCAGAAAAAATTCCAAAGTCTTTCTACGATCTCTCATAGAGGCAAAATTTAAAAAAGGCGAATGAGACACGAGTCAAGATGGGCAGAGAGAGATCAGGAGAGGACAGGTAGATTTGTATGTCATCT